CACATATAATATTACTGCTACTACTAACAATAATAACAATAAAAACATTTTAACCTTTTAATAATAACGTTTTAATATTTGTATATCTGTTATATTTTCTAAATATTTAAAAATATTTTTAACATTTTTAAATATTATAAATAACATTTGTATTATTATTATTTTTTTATTTAATACTTTATTTCTTATTTTTACTCTAGAGACTTGCATGACTTTAAGTAAAATAATCAGAATGGCTATTCCAGGCTTGAAAATCACAGTTAACATTTAATAATAATAATAATAATAATAATAATGTAATATTTTGTATATCTGTAAATATTTTGAATTATTTTTTAATATTTTAATATTATATAAATATTTAATGTTTTTTTAAACATTTGGTTTTATTTTCACACTTTTTAGATTAAATTATTTGTTTGCTTCCATTCTGAGTTTAAATTCAACAAACATTTGGAACTCAAATTTGATTTTGCAAGCTCTACTCAGTGTGGTGTAAGAGAGAGACAGAGAGAAGTTGTGTCAGTACCAGGAAGCTCTCTTCCTGCTCCAGCCATCTCTGGTCCTCCTCCATCTGCTGCTGCTGTTTGATGAGCGTCTCCTCCATCCCCTGACTCCGCCCCAGAGCGCCCCCATCCTGACACACACACACACACACACACTCACCAGCATGAGTTAGAACCCTAACCCTAAGCGCTCACTCACACAGAGCGTCCCGTCTCCTCGCTCACCTCCATGTTTGGAGACCACACAAGAACCTCGTGTCTGTGATGGTTCCATGCTTCATGCGGGTCGAGGACAGACGCCTGCGGCGGGAATCCTGCACCGGGATATCCAGACCCCTTCACAAATGACAAGACATTTCATTTACATTTATCAATTTAGCACATGCTCTTATCCAAAGTGCCCCAGTAAAATCTGTAAGCAAGTAAATAAATAAATAAATAAGTTACATTTTTTAAAATTCAATAAATCATACTGTAGCGATCAGTATTATTTCTATAATATTTTTATATACTGTTTTTCTAAATGTTTTTATATTTTCAGATTGCATTTTAAATTAAATTTTTAGTAATTTTGTTATGCACTTTGTTATTTTTATTAGCTTTTATTTTTTTATTTTAGTTTTTTTTAATATATTTTCAGTTAGTAATTTTAGTACTTTTAGAACCTAAACTTATTTCAATTTTTAATATAATATTTGTATTTTATTATATTTCATCTTTGATTATCTTTTATTTTAATATTTTCTGTTTTCATTTTAAATTTTAATAATTTTATTATGCACTTGGGTCATTTTTGTTAGTTTTTGTTATGTGCTTTTGCCATTATTCTTTTTTATTTATTTTTATTTTGTTTTAATTTCTTTTAATTTTAGTTTTTTTTTTTTTAAATAATTTTAATATTGCGTACAACAAACTTATTTCAGTTAGTTTTTCATCTAATACTCGTATTTTATTTGACAATGTTTTTTCCATTTACAATTTATATGTACATTAAGCAGATTTAGTTTTATTATTAAATATTCATATTAAATACCTTTCAATACTGTACCACTGTATTTTAATTCCTTTCATGCTCACAAATGTTGCATTATGTAACTAATATGTGTTGTGAAAGCGGTTTCAGTTGATTATTAAGACCCCTCTCGCTTCCTCTCGTAACGACTAATAAACACCCCGAAACAAAAATAACAGGCACTTTGAGCACAAAAGCCTTTTAAGGCATGAAGACAGAGCAGCGATCTGTGTGTGTTTGAGCTGAAGGAATGTATCTGGACTCAACAATAGAGCTCACAGGAAATGCCTGCTGTCAGAGACGCTCAGCGAGACACTGAGAGATAACTCAGACTCAGAGCTGAATAATCAGTCTGCATTCACTGAACACTGAAGTACATCGAGGAGTCTGAATGTGTTTGGCTCCAGTAATCAGTTTGGCAGATGTTTGCCGAGGTTTATGTGGTATTTGGAGACTTTCTGGGTGTATGTTGTGTGATGAAGAAGAAAGAGTAACTGCACAACTCAGATTCTTTAGTTTATTTACTTACTGAAGCAGCGTTTTACCCATCAGCCTTTCTCAATGTACAATCGCCAGCAGGTTTATGAATAACAGGACTACTCACTTTGTAATGTTTTTAGTGCCAGAAAAATGGCTAGATAATTACTTTTACTATGATGTAATCTTCTCCACCTGCTGATAATTGTTGAGCTGTTTAGTCTGCTTTCTATGGCTGTGAAATAATCAGCATGTTATCAGCTAAGGACAAAAAAGAAAAAAATCACATTCCCCGTTCATTTCTACAACAATAATAATAATAATAATAATAATTATTATTATTATTATTACTACTACTAATACAATATATTTCCGATTTATTATTTTAATAAATAATTTATATTATAAAATTAACTATAAAATAAAAATAAATTAATATTGCTATTGCAATATTGTAAATAGCAAAACAAGTATTCACTATACTTTATACTATGTTTATACTAACCGTATAAAATAAAATAATTTTTATTAAAATATATCTATTTTTAATTATTCAATTATAAAAATTAAACCAATCAATAAAGAAATATATTACTATTGCAATAATACTATCGTACTGTAAAATAAGAATTGTATTTTATAGAACAAGTATAATTTCAACTACAAAATGTTTTTTTCTAAGATTATTTTTCTTAGAATTCACATGGATCCTACCTTTCAGGTAGGAAAACACAGAAATCCATATAGATATGTTAAAATCACATCCCTGAGATGGAAAGAAAAAGCTTCTGAGGTCTTACCTTTGTCTCACCAGCAAGGGGTGCCACGTTACAGACTTTTTTGGAGCGCAGGGTATTGATAACAGAGCTCTTTCCAACATTGGGGTAACCAATGAAGCCAACACTGATCTGCTTTTTGTCTGAGTGGAGCTGAGCAAAAATCAATATGGACATGTTAATACTAAGCAAACGTCATTTTGCAAAGCAGCAATTAAATAGAAGAAATACACACATACTGTCAAGTCCTCTGATTTAATGTCGGTTTCATGGTATCGATGTCAGGAAAACAAGATCATCTTGGATCAACCCTTCTCCCAATAATTTGCACACATTCCCTTTCACATTTCATTATACACATTTAAAAAGGGGGCCCAAGAAATAAAGACTTCATACACAACCTACAAAGGCCTCTTAAATGTCATTACACCTGCAGATTTAT